GCAATCCCATTACTGGGAATCTACTCAAAGGAAAATAAGTCATTGTAACAAAAAGATTCCTGCATATATGTTTATTGCAGTACAATTCACAGTTGCAAAGATATGAACCAACCTAAGTGCCCATCAACCAATGAGTGGATAATGATAATGTTACATACTTGAAAATCAAATTCAGCATATACACCCAGATTAAACAGAGAGTCACTTAATGCAATGCTAACTTTGAACCTTTAGTATACGATTGTGATTTCTTGTAATGATGTCCATGAGTTACCAAGAATTTTTGTTTTAATTTATGTTTCAGTAATAATTATAATAATTTTATATAAGCTTACTCATAATGTTAGTGAAAATCTTGAATTGTACAATTATTAGGAGAGTTCACAGTGCACATTTATATGCATGTTTCCACAATTTCAATAATAAGAGATAGAGGCAGAAAACAACAAGGTATTTGGGCACCCATGTTCTTCTAAGCACTGTGTAGAACTCTTATATTTGTTCCTTCTTTTCATCCTCACAGCAACTCTTCATGGTAGATATTATTAACTGTTTGATGGATAAGAAACCTGAGTTTTATAAAAGTTAAGTTGGTCATAATTCAAATTTTTGGGAAATGGGGAAGCAGGACTCAAAACTCATGTCTGTCTGACCTGAGCCCTTGATCTCACCTGCCATGACATGATACCCCCACAGCAATCAGAGAGGGAAGCAGAGTCAGCAGCTACATACAGCAATATACACCCACAACAGTCCCTCCTTACTCATTCATACATGTTAGCCATTAAGAAAATGAGATCACTTTGGATGAGAAAAAGTCAAGACTCTTGGCTCACGGCAACTCATGATTCTCCTCCGAATAAGAATCCAAATTTGATATTCACACTTTCTAATTTACTAGCACTAAAAGTAGTGGTCTAGTCAAAGCAGTAATTTGGAATTGGTTCCTTGATTAATGACAAAAAATATTATGAAAAAAGTAAATGTTCTATATTAGAAGAGCATTTAATGGAAGATTCTCAAAAGAAATAATGGCTCACAATCATTTTAACTTAAATCTAGTTGCATCCATTGTCCTTACTATTAAAAACAAATTAAGCATAAAGCCTAATAATCCTTTGTGTAGCTTGTCCATAGTATGGTTTGTCCTAAGTGTCCTTATGGACATTTAGGTTGTTTCCAGTTACTTGCTGTTATAAATAATGCTCCCTTTGTATCAGTTTTTGCTACAAAAGTGCAAAGTAAGCAAACAACTAACTACAACTCAGTGAATATTTAAAAGGTCACTAATTGTTTACAGTCCTTAAGGCCCAGCTTTGGAACTTATACACTGTCACTTCCAATCGCATGCTAATATGCAAACATGCCTCCTAGTCAAGCCCATGGTCAAGCTCATTGTCAAAGGTGCAAAGGTGGAGAACTGCTCCACTCATGAAGGAGTCATGTGGACACAGGGAAGGCTGAAGTGTTACAGTGAGTTACCTAGCCTTGAGTAACATTTTGTCAAAGTGTGTTTGAAACATATTTCTAAAAGTGGGATAGCTGGGACAAAAATTAAGTGCACATGTAATTTTTTTAGATATTACCAAATTCTCCTTCATAGTAATTGAAATATTTTTAATTTCTACAGGCAACAGATGAGATTGTTTTTTCACAGCCTGTCTTGTCAGCCAGTGTAGTTTTTAACTTTTATTTCATTTCATATGAGTAAAATTAAGAATTCTTTTATGTATTTAAAAGCCATTTACTTTCCTTTTTTGCATGAACACTTTGTATCTCTGGCCGTACTTAAAAACAAACATAAGGTTTTGACCTTTTACTTATTTATCTTAAAAGTTTTTATATAATAAAGAAAAGGATCAGTTTCTTCATAACATACATGGCAAATATGCTTTCCAGGTTTTCTACTTGGTTTACTGTATTTTGTCAAACACAGGTTTTACATTTTTATTTAGTCCAATAGATTAGTTATTTCCCTTATTACTGCTGGATACTGAGGTATCGTTGGGAAATTTTTCCCCGTTAGTGAATGGGGAAAAACTTCACCCACATTTTCTTCTCATACTTATAGAAGTTTAATTCTTTTTTTAGAGTTTAATTCTTATCCTTAAAATTTTTATAAATTTATAATTATTCTGTTTTTAATAATACAATTTTAACTTTTAAAAAATGTTTATCCAGTTATCATACTTGAGATGCTGCTTTTTGAAAATATTATTAAAAGTCATATGCAATCAGATCTATTTCTAAATTTTGTACTGTGTTCCATTGGTATATCTGCCTATTCAAGTGCCAGAACAACCTTTTCATTATAGAGGCTTTATATTTAAATGTCTGGTGAGCTAGTTTATACAATACTTACAATATTTATTTATTTCTGTTCAGAGTTCATTGTTTATTTGCATTCATTATCCATTATGGTTATATAAAAATTACCACAAACCACTTTGGGAGGCCGAGGTGGGTGGATCATGAGGTCAGGAAATCGAGACCATCCTGGCTAACATGGTGAAACCTCATCTCTACCAAAAATACAAAAATTAGCTGGGGATGGTGGTAGGCGCCTGTAGTCTCAGCTACTCGGGAGGCTGAGGCAGGAGAATGGCGTGAACCCAGGAGGCAGAGCTTGCAGTGAGCTGACATTGTGCCATTGCACTCCAGCCTGGGCGACGGAGCAAGACTCTATCTCTAAAGATATATATATGTGTGTGTGTGTGTGTGTGTGTGTGTGTATAAAAAATAAAGAATAAAAAGATAAAATTACCACAAACTTCCTGGCTTAAAACAACACATATTTATTTTCTGCAGCTTCTGTGGTTAGAAATGTGGGCATGGCTTAGCTCAGTCCTCTACATATGGTCTTACAAGGCTACAGTTAAGGTATTGCCTGAGCTTCATTCTCATCTGGAATCTTGACTAGGGAGGAATCTGCTTCCATGGTCACTCCAGTTTTGACGGCATTCATTTCTTTGTTTGTAGGACTGGAGGACTCTGACTTTTTACAGACTATTTCCTGGAGACTGCTTTCAGCAACTAGGGGCCACCCACAGTTTCTAGAAGCATCTAGGAATATTTCCATGTGGCCTTTCCTAACATAACAATTTACTCTATCAACTTATCAAGGATACTCTTTAGAATATGTCTGCTAGACAGTCTTACATAATGAAACGTATTCATTTAGTGACATCCCATCATCCGTGCTTCACCATTTTGTTCAGAAGCAAATCACAATTCTCACCCGCACTCAAGGGGGAAGATCATACAAAGGCATGAACATAAGGAGGCAAGGATAATAGGGTACTTACTTCCAGAAAAAGGTAGCATTTTTATCAGACTTGTTTTAAATTTATAAATTAACTCGAAAGAACCAATTTTTAAAAAAGTATTACATCTTTCTGTCAAAATACAGAGTATATTTTCTTCAAGTCATATTTTTTAAACTTTCAATAGCATTTTATAATTTTTTTATGTAATTTGAAACATTTCTTCCTAAATTTGTCTGTATTTTATTTTATTTATTTTTAATTTTATTTACTATCTACAATGGGCATTTCTTTCCATTATAATTTCTAATTGTTCTTTTTATGTATATGCAGGACATATATTGATTTTGTTGGTTAATTCTAGTTTATGCTTCTCTTCTAAAAGTTGGCTATACGTTTTGGTAGTTTTCCTATTACTTCTTTTAGATTTTCCCAAATATACAATCATAGCTTCTACTAAAAGAGATAGTTTTACCTTTTCAATTCCAACTTTGATGCCTCTAATTGCATTCTTTTTTCTAATTTCATTGGCTAGTACTTCAACAATAGTGTTAAAAGTCATAGAGATTATAGCCATCTTTTTTGGTCATGACTTTAATGGGACTGAATTTAATGTTTCCTCCATTAAGTAAGATGATTTTATCTTAATTTTATCATTAAATATTCCTGGATTCTTGTCTCATTGAATATTTTAAATATAAATGTGTTCATATTTTCAAAATACTATTCTATATCTAATAATGTTTTTCTCCATAGCTCTATTAATATGATAGATTATATTAATGAGTTTCTTAATGTTAAGCCATCTTTAATTACTGGAATAAATCACCCTTGGTCATGATGCACTATTTGTTAATGTGCTAATAAGTGATGTTTGCAAATATTTTAACATTTTGCATCAACATTTAGAATTTAGACTCTTCTCTAGATTCCTTTTATTGTATAATGTTTATCAAATTTGTGGATCATATTGTTTTCCTTCAAAACTAATTTTAAATTTTTTGTTTCTCTTTTTAATAGCATTGGGTTGATCTGAGCTTTAAAGATTTAGAAAAATTCTCCTGTGAAACTATCTGGAGCTGATGCTTTTCACGAGAAACCCTAACTAAATTATCTACTGCTCATAAATATTAAGGTTTTTAGACTATGCCTTTACTGAGGTCAATTTCAGTTAATTATATTTTCTAAAAATTATGTGTTCCATTTGGATTTTGCAAAGTAATTACAATGATTTAAAAAATTTTTCTATTTTAATGGCTTTTATTTCTAATTTTGTATATTTATATTTACTCTTTTTCTCATTTGGATTGGTTGGTTGTTTATCTATTTTTTGTTATTTTTGTTGCTTTACAAAAGAACCAGCATTTAGGTTTATTTATTTATGAGTTTCACCATAATTTTTTCTAACTCATTATAATCTGATTTAATATTTATTATTTCCTTCTGCATTTTTGGTGGTTTTCTTTTGAACTTTCTGAGTTGAGTATGTTATTTTTAAATTTTTTGCTTTTTATTGATATAAATGTGTTATACTATACAATCTCCGATAACTGCTTTATCTCATAGAGATAACATCAGGCAATCATTATAATCATTTTTCAGAAATTTTGAAATTTTATCTTCCTCTTTGAACTAAAAATTGTTTATAGCATATTTTTTATAAATTCTAGATAGAAGAGGATTTTAGCTATTTTACTAGTTTTTTAGTTTTATTGTATTGTTATCAGAGAATGCTCTTATTGTTATTTCAATTTTTTAGGATTTATAGAGGTTTTACTTGGGAATTAAGATGTCTTTAATTTTTGCAAATGCTCCATGTCTACTTCTTAAAAAAGCATATGCCTTGTTGGTAGACTATATATGTTATACACACAGGCACACACACACACACGCACATGCACGCACACACACACACAGAGCGAGATAGTACTTTATTGGTTATACATTTATCTTTATTTAGATCCTCCTAGAGCCAACTCCAAGATAAGGTTTTGTGTGTATGTAACCTATGTACAAGATCATCCCTGGAAACAAGAGTAAAGGACTAGAAGGAGTGGATGAAGGAGAAATAATCAATGTAAGAATGTGTTATTGAGAGTGCCACTTGGAGAAAATGGGGTTCAATGCTCACCAGGCTTCTGTGAGTATTTACAATGCATATTGCTGGGTAAGTGCTAATTAGCTGCAATGTTGAGGGTTACCCTTAGAAGCAGTGCTTTTTAGCTGTGCAGATGTGCTTGCACTGGGCTCTTACTAGTGTCTGGATGTAGAATCCCTGGGGTAGAAAGTGAAATACATTGCAGATACACGCTTGAGGCAAGATAGTACCAGCAGGAGTTCAGTCAAAGCCCATCAGAAACTGTGTACCACCCATGTGACTGAAATTAGAGGAGAGATGGAGAGCTTTGAGTTGGGATACAAGCAGCATGAGAAACAGTTGATTAAGTCTTAGAGATACTTGCTAATTTTTAGTCTGCTTCATCTGTCTTTGCTTAAGATATGTGTGTTAAAGTCTTCAGCTATTAGTCTATGTCTGTGTGTTTTTTATCTCATTTAGACAGTGATTTATGAAATATATTACTCTGTTATCAGGTAAGCAAATTCTAACAGCCGCAATTGCTTTATAGTAAACTGTTGCCTTTAGCACTATAAAGTGACTTTCAATGCTTTTGGGTGTAAATTCTATCTTGTTAATGATCAAGATCATGACCCTTTCTTTCCTTCTTTATTTTTATATTTTGCATTAGCCTAGTTTTGCTTTTTACTATTTTTGTATTTATGTTTATCTTAATTTTTAATAGGCTTCATTTTTAGAGCAGTTTTAGGTTCACAGCAAAATTGAGCGAAAGGTACAGATTTCTCATATACCCCCTGACACTCCCCACCCCACCCCAGCCGTACAGCCTCCCCCATTATCGACATCCCTACTACTACATTAACGCATCATTATCACCCAGAGACCGCCAGGGATCACTCTTAATGTTGTACAATCTATGCATGTGACAAATGAATAATGATATGTCTCTATAATTACAGTGTCATATAGAATTGTTTTGTTTGTTTGTTTTTTGAAACGGAGTTTGGCTCTTGTTGCCCAGGCTTGCATGCAATGGCGTGGTCTCGGCTCACCACAACCTCCACCTCCCGGGTTCAAGTGATTCCCCTGTCTCAGCCTCCTGAGTAGCTGGGATTACAGGCATGCACCACCACACACAGTTGATTCTGTATTTTTAGTAGAGACAGGGTTTCTCCATGTTGGTCAGGCTTGTCTTGAACTCCCAATCTCCGGTGATCCACCTGCCTCAGCCTCTCAAAGTGCCGGAATTACAGGCGTGAGCTACCGCGCCCAGCCACAGAGTCGTTTTATTGCCTGAAATACTCTTTGTGTTCTGCTATTTTTGCCTTCCCTACCCACAACCCCTGACAACCACTGATCATTTTACTGTCTCCATAGTTTTGCCTTTTCCAGAGTGTCATCTAGTTGGACTCATAGAGTATACAGCCTTTTCAGGTTGGCTTCTTTCATTTAATAGTATGCATTTAAGTTTCCTTCATGTCTTTTCATTTCTTTGTAGCACCGAATAATATTCCCTTGTCTGGATGTACCATTCTTTAATTTTTAACCTTTTTGAATCTCTGTGCTTTAAGTATGCTTCTTATATATAGCACAATATTGTATTTTGCTTTCTTAACTATTCTTAAAATATTTTCTTTTTAATAGGTAAACACATTAAATTTATTGACCTAATAATATGATGATATGTTTGGTCTCAGTTCAGATATTACATTATATTATATATATATATGTGCATGTGGGAATATTTAAATATGTAATAAATGTAATATATTTGTATGTGTTACATCTAAAATATACTTATTATAAATTATACATATTGTACTTATTTGAATATGTGTAATATATAATTATATTTATATATTAAAGTCTGAATATCTTATTTATTGTATTTGCTCTCTTTTGATAAGTCTTTTATTATTTAGAAAGGTTTATTTATTTGTGGTCATAATGATCTTTCACTCGTATGTTTACATCATACCTTAGTGTCTTCCTTTTCTTCATTATTGTATATTATTTTCCTCTATGACACCGTTTAAGTTAGCTAGTACCCTCTTCTTTTTCTCAGCATCTAAACTGAAGTAACACTCTTTTATGCCAAATATTGCATAAGGTCACTAGCAAGTTTATTCTACTTTTCATGTGCTTTCCCCATTTCCCCCCATTTTCTGATAATTGCACTGTATCTAAATTGTCAGAACACATAGCCATTACCTGCTATACTGTCTCAGTGTAGCCATTATCTAGTCTAATACACACATGCACACACACACACCTATATGTACATACACATCAACACCTACACATCAACACAGACACACACTCCTATATCCATCTCTCAAATACGAGCACGTAGGGGATGGATCTCTGTCCTCTTGGGCATCCTCCTTAACTCCATGGTAGTGTACTGATATTTAATTGGGTGGGCAAAACTGTGAACATTTTCCTGATTTCAGAAATGTCTTCTCTGTATCAGGTTGCCCAGAGGATAACATTTCATTCTTGTCAACTAAGTTTAAGAGAATTCCTTCTAACCAGCTGGGGTAAGAGGCCCTTTTTTTGTTCTCCCTCCTTAACTTAGGAGCTAAAATTCTCTATCACCTTGTGAAAAACCAGAGAAAGTCCTGTGATGCCTCACACTTGCTGTTCAAAGTATTGTGTTTCTTGCCTTTTTGTCTATGAAGTTAGATAACCTTTGGCTTACACTGGAACATCAGCTTCTTGCACGATTACTGTTTAAATTCAGTCATGGCCATCATAATTGCTAACTGCTAAACAAATCGTGATTGTGACATCTGGATGCAATAAAGATTATGAAAGAAAGTAATGTGGAAGAGAGCTGGCAGACAAAAAAAGCAGTAGAATGTTCTACAGGAAGTGATAATTGATTTGGAAATGAATGAAAATGAAAAACGTATATTTGCTGTTTCGTTAGAGAGAAACTGGAGCTGGGCGGTTTAACATCTATTCTGGTGTAGAACTTTACTCCTTAGGGGAACAAGTTCAACTATGGAAAGAATATTTAACGCGCCCTCATCAGACAGATGTGAATGCCAAGTCTTACTACTGTTCATGACATAATCTCACTGCCCTATCATGGGAACATCCAACTTAAACAATTTGCATATTTATTTTTTAAGCAAGAGACCAGTACTACGAAAAGCAAATTTTTTTTGGTGCTGAGTGATACGAAAATGTAAGAAAATGTTGCTACATTCAAGCCATCATCCATCCCATAGAGCACTTGTCAAACTACGGAACATAAAGAAAGTTCAGAAATAAAACCAGTTACCGTGTGTTTTATAGCTCATTGGATCAAATGACTGTACTATTGAAACAGGAAGAGTCCCCTTGTCGCCCTGGCAGGGCGCATGATGTGGGTGTGGCTGGCTTCTTTGGTGCCCCACTGTTCAGACCTCTAAGGGAGCATGCAGACAGCCAGGCTGTGGGGCTCTGACCCCACAGCAGTCTAGGGGTGAATGTTTACAGCTGAAGCCCTGTGGGCGTGTGTTACAGGGTGCTCTTTTAGTTTTGCCAACCTTAGGCAGCTTGTGTTAGTCCCCTCCATTAGACCCCTGCCTTATCGCAAGGACAGAGGGGTTTCTGTATCCCGAAGTTCTTGCCTTGGTGTGCCGGAAGAATCGGATCGCATGTGGGCTTGGAGAATTAGTGCAAGGTTTTAGTGAGTGGAAGTAGCTCTCAGCAGATGGGGGAGGCACAAGGGCGATGGCTTTTCCTGGAGTCGGGCTGCTTGGTGACCTGGGCTCTCCTTTGACTGCCCCGGCCAAACTCTTGAGTTGTTGTGCCAGTCGGTGGCCTGCTGGCTTGCTGGCGCCTGTTGGTACGTTCCTCTGGACGTCCAGCTGCCTGTGTGTCTGCCTTTTAGAGTCTCCGGGTTTCTATAGGCACAGAATGGGGGCGTGGCAGGCCAGGGGAGGTCGTGGGAAATGCAACATTTGGGCAGCAAAACAAAAACTCCTGTCCTTACATAGGTCAGAGGGCACAGGCCAAGGGGACCCGGTCCTCCTCCACTCAGCACTTCCCCGCCCACTTCCGTATCATTTAAAGGGACCAGGTTCTTCCCTTCCCAGCACTTCCTTTCCCCGCTTCCATATCACTATGAATTGTTTTCTTTACCACGGTTGAGGAATGCATACATATTTTTTAACCAGTAATGTGGTTTTTAACCAGTAATGTGATTTACGTGAGAACCCCATTTCCCATAGTGATAAAGGGGGACACAATGAGCTTTATTTGCAATAAGGGGGCTTTCCCTTTCACTTCTAGGACAAAAGCCTCTGTCTAAACCCAGATGAGGCAGATCACACTCAAGTGTGGAAACACGTTGCAGAATATGCTGGCTTCACTTCTTACTGCATAACACCTGGCACAGTCCGGAGAACAGTTTGTTCTCCCCCTTATTACTGTAGAAGCTAAACATTCCCATTTTGTTCTCACCGAATCCAGAGTGTCTGGAAACTTGGGTTTGTAGCTAACGTAAGGTCTTTAGACATCGTTCCATTCACTAGGCAATGGACACATCTTCCAAGGTCTCTATGGAGCTGCCTTTTCTAACTGATATAGAACTTACTATTCTCTCTCAGCTACTTTGGCATGCACTACAAAATGCTTTCGTCATTACTCTTTCATGGGTAACGCCTTGGTTTGCTAGAAAGCTCATTGGGAGTAAAGAGTGTGGATTCTGTATGTTTCAAAACAGGCTTTGGGTTTACGATTTCAGTCATAATTTGGTCCCAGCAGTATTGCTTACTGGTTCTGTGTACTTGATCAAAGAGCCAGTGCTGTATTCAAGTTCACCAAATATCAAGCAATAGTTGAGTTTCCATGTTACCTTTAGATATTAATGCTTCCATTAGCACCTAAAGGTAGCATGAAACTCATGGATGTTCCCATTACATACATAAAATTATCCACCTTCATTTTCTTGATGCTATGCTAAATGCTTTACGTGTGTCAATCCATCCATTTTATTTTTCCTTTTTGAGACACAGTCTCACTCTGTCACCAGGCTGGAGTACACACAGCTCACTACCATCTCCACCTCC